GGGCTGGAAAGTTTTTGGCAGCCTGAATAGACATGGAAATGGGTATCTCGTGCAAATAACACTTTCATTTGGGCTGGAAAGTTTTTGGAGCCTGAATTGGGCAAGTAATTGTAGAACATAAAGAATGTTTTGTAGGCACTGGGCAGAACTTGCAATTTGTATCGTATAAAAGAATGGAGGACATTTGGGAGAAAGTGTGTTGACAGCTCTAAGTATCCATGATTCATTCATACTACTTATTCTATATTTTGGTTTTCCTGTTGGAACAATTACACCTATTTTTGCATAGATAATGTGGCATGTAAATATATAACCTAAAGTTTGACATTTGCATCAGATTTGTGTTGGAAGGTAAATGCTCCTTTTTATAAACTTTGAAAAGCTTACTTGTTTGTCTTAGCACTTCAGGTTTAATCTGCATATGGTGTGCTAATTCTGGTACGGTGAATCTGCATTTGGTTTAATCTGCATTTGGATAAACAATTCATTCAGGTTTAATCTGCATTTGGTTTACTTGTTTGTCTTACTTGTTTGTCTTACTTGTTTGTCTTACTTGTTTGTCTTACTTGTTTGTCTTACTTGTTTGTCTTACTTGTTTGTCTTACTTGTTTGTCTTAGCACTCCAGAAGCAAATATTGTGGAAAGTGAAAGCTTGAGAAATTTGAAAAGCTTAATGGTGGCTCCATATTCTTTTCCATTAGTTGCTGATGTAAATGATCATATCTCAGGACATTTGCCAAACAAAATTATTTCTCCATCTCAACATTCTGATCTTGGCATGTTGGCTTGTTGGAATATTAGTGTACTAGTTAAATGTGCAGGAAATAGTTTATGCATATTGCAGTTTGACAGTGAAGTATTAATGTTGGTTTTATTTGATGGTTTGGATTTGTTTTTGTTGTCTCTTAACTGGAATATTTATTTGCTTTAGATACTTGCTGAGCTGAGCACTTCAATTGCAAACTTCATGAGGTTTTGAAAAGAAATTATAAAAGAGGCTTCTCTTTACCCATAAAGCCATAACATATTTGTATATGTATTGCGGTGCAATAGGAGCTTCACCTTGCATAACGATCGGTCTTCAGCTTCGGCGTCAGCATCGGGCAGGCTGGCCAAGTGGTGGTCGTGATAGAAGTTCCGAAAAACAAACTTGGGGCAGGGGTTGGGACAAAAATTCCAGTTGAGGGACAGCGGAGCGCAGGAGTTCTTGGAATTGGGAGTGGTAGTAAAAAGGGTAGAAAAATGGAATGGAGAGATGGGAAATTTGACTGGTGGTTTATGCATATGTTGGCTAAAGGAATGCACAAGCCGCAGCATTTTGCATTTTTAATTTACTTGAACCTCATTTCATTGACATAAATTTTTTAAAAGTATAAAAATAGTCTTTTGCTTTCTTCCAATTCATCTCCGTTACATCTGACCAACCTCATAATTCGTCCATATAAATGATATATCCCAAAACCTTAGAAGATGGAATATGAAATGCAATGCATCATGTGTAAATGACTAATAAGCAAGATCCATAATTTACGTCTTATAAGGCCCCATAAAACTTCATTCTTGGATGCATTTGGATGTTCCACTTGTTTATTATAAGAAAAACTAGTGAAATCCTGAACTGTACTCTAGCTTTTGCTGGTAGACACTGAATTCGACAAGAATGCTTATGCCGAACTTGTTGGATCTCATGAAATAGCTAATATTGATTTAGTGAACTAATATTGATCTCGCATTTTCACAATCTCATTGCTCGTTCTCATATACTATATCATCACATGCGAGAATTAATATTTAATTTTTTTTTCTATTTAATAGATTAAAAAATATAAAAAATTTGAAAATTTTCGAACGTTTCGAACAATTCGAACATTTCGAACATTTCAAACATATTCGAACAATTCGAACGATTCGAACAATTCGAACTAATTTCGAACAAATCGAACCGAACACGAACAGACCGTTCACGAACAATTTCGAACACGAGCCTATTTCAAACAAATAATATTTCAAACGAACCAAACACGAACACGAGCACTGTTCGTTCGTGTTCGGTTCGTTTACGCCCCTACTTGCATCAGTCTCTCTTTTAAGGGGCTTCTTGATCTTCCACCAAACCATACTTCTGTTTCTTCTCATCCGTTGGTTGTCATTGAGATTCGGGCAGATAAATTCAGACATACAAATATGTAAATGGCTATGAAAGTATTAATAAAGTCAAGATAACTCTTATAAAATATTTCCTTCAGCAGATTCATCAGAAATTTCAGAATGTTCACATGCAATACGGACACTTGCACATTTTTTAATAACTATTATTTTTTAACGACAAATTTCAACTAATTACAGGTTGACATATATAAGCACTAAATTCCAAAAAAAAAAAAAAGAAAAAGAAAAAAAGAACAGGGAGGGCCATGCGCTGTACAAAGACCGATGAATCCGCAGAGCGAAATAATTGAGCCAAAGGTGTAAAGACAGCAGGGCACGATTGCAATATATATAAAGCTGTACCAATAAGCGTCATTTCAGTCACCGAATACCTATATGATTTTACCCAAACAATCAGATTTTGTACACACATTTCATTAAAGCTGTATAACAATGTACAGAACGATATCCAATACCAAAATAAATTTTAATAATCTATTAAAATTCAAAATTAAATTTTAAATATAAATAATAAATAGAACTCTACGACTACATAAAGCCTGCCATCTTCATCCCACCCATTCCATTGACAATCCTCCAATGGACTCTTCTTCCTCCTCTCTATCTCTCTGTTTGCTTGCACTACTCTCTGTAATGAGCTTAGCCGCCCAGCCGAGAAAGCCTGTCGATGTGCCATTTCAGACCAACTATGTGCCCACCTGGGCAAGCGATCATATCAAATACATCAATGGTGGGAAGGAAGTCCAACTCTACTTAGATAAATATACAGGTAAATAGCTTACTTGATAGCAAATCCCAAAATTAAATTTTTTTTAAAAAAAAAGTTTTCTTTTTGCGCCACTGAACTGTTCTATGTTCCTACTTACACAGGCACTGGCTTTCAGTCCAAGGGATCTTACCTGTTCGGACACTTCAGCATGCAGATGAAGCTTGTTCCGGGTGATTCTGCCGGCATTGTCACTGCATTTTATGTAAGTTGGAAAAAATGGTTTTTTTATGTATGTACATATGTTATAAGGTTGGATTATGTGGTTTTAATTAGTGGAGAGTTGAGAATATTCTGAAAATTTTATTTTTTTGGGTGTTTGTGGTTGCAAAATGGCAGCTTTCTTCGCAAAACTCGGAGCATGATGAGATAGATTTTGAGTTCTTGGGAAACAGGAGTGGGCAGCCAAGTATTTTACAGACTAATGTGTTCACTGGAGGAAAGGGGGATAGAGAGCAGAGAATATATCTCTGGTTTGATCCTACGAAGGGATACCATGATTACTCTATTCTATGGAACTTGTTTCAGATTGTGTAAGACCCCCTCCCCCCTTTTTAATATTATTAATTTAATTTTTATACATAGTCAATATGAGCTCATTTATAAACTGAGCTCAAAAAATTTGTTCGAATTTGATTCATTTTCTCAACGAAAGAATCAAGTGCGAGCTACGTAGCGGCCGACCACGAACTGTTCGCAAACAAAAAATCAAATTTTTTGACATCCCTACTACATACCACTGCAGATTCTATGTGGACGATGTGCCAATAAGGGTGTTCAAGAACAGCAAAGATCTGGGCGTGCGCTTCCCCTTCAACCAGCCCATGAAAATCTACTCAAGTCTGTGGAACGCCGACGATTGGGCGACGAGAGGGGGGCTTGAGAAGACCAACTGGACCAACGCCCCCTTCGTCGCGGCCTACCGGAGCTTCCATATCGATGGCTGCGAGGCTTCCGTGGAGGCCAAGTTCTGTGCCACGCAGGGCAAGAGATGGTGGGATCAGAAGGAGTTTCAGGACTTGGATGGCTTGCAGTACCGGCGACTCTATTGGGTTCGCAAGAAATTTACTATTTATAACTATTGTTCTGATCGGTCTCGTTATCCTGTTGTGCCGCCGGAGTGTCGCCGTGATAGGGATTACTGAGGTTGGTGCAGTTGAGTTGTGCGTTCATGGTGTTCGATGAAATGCTTGAAAAAAGTTGGGAGGTGGTGATTCTATTTTGTTGAGCTGATTGGTTATGTGTATTTGTTAGGTTTTCTATGGAATATATAAGTTTTAATTAATTATCAGTATATTTTGAAATAAATGTCTATGTTTTCAAAAAACAAATTGTTGAGCATAATGTTTTAGTATTTTGTCAGAGTTATTAGAACACTATTACTTTTAAATTATGTCATACAAAATCATATTTAAATGAAGACTATAGTTAAATAAAATAATAAATTTTTAATTAGATTCATTCCAAACATGCATAGTATATAAAGGTTAAAGATAAACATGAATTTAGAGAATGTATGATTTAGTTTCTAAACATTATTAATGAAAATAATAAAAATAAAAGGAAAAAACATCATAAACTCTGTGCTAAAGTTAGAAGGATAAAACTCAATTAAGCATTTGAAGACTAAGGCCCTGTTTGGTGCAATGATTTTATCGTGACGCGATTAGAAAACACGACGGCTCGCATTTGGTTTCAACTGCGTGGCGGATTTTATGAAAAATTCAAACGATATGTGGTCACCAGTTCAACCATGCGGCCCGCGTTCGTTCGTATAATGTTGACGCGGTTGCCTCTCCTCTTCCTCGATCATTTCTCTCGCATGTCTTGCCTTAGCCGCCCCTCCTCTATCGCAATCCTCTCTCTCTCTTGCCCTAGTGTCCCTCTCCTTTACCTCGTCTCTCTCTCTCTCTCTTGGTTGGTGTTGTGTCTCTCTCGGTGAGTTCTGTTCTTCCCCTCTATCTCCTCTACAACTCTATTTGACTCTTTTGATCCGTGCAAGGTGTTGCTTCTTCGTGCGATACTCTGTGCAGTGGTTCCTCTGTATCATGGGTTCTCTGTGCGGTGGTTCTTCTTCGTGTTGGGTAATCCCTACCTTAACTACGCAATTGTCTTTGATTTTGCAAATGTGAATCTATCTGATATTTGTGTAGTTTCCTCTTTGTGATCATTCATCTGTGCGGTGGTTCTTCTGTGTGCTGGGTAATTTTTGTGGGGTTGTTTCTTTACCCTAACTGTGCGGTTTTTGGTTTTGTGCCTTTGTACCCGCCGTGGGTTCCTCCATGCGGTGGTTCCTCTTGGTGTTGGTGCAGTTCTTTGTGCTCGAGAATTTTGTGATTTTTTTCTTTATTTGGCTAATGCTTATGCTTCATTGCTTCTCAAAGTTCCTCCATGCGATGGTTCCTCTTGGTGTTGGTGTAGTTCTCTGTGCCGAGAATTTTGTAATTTTTTTTATTTGGCTAATGTTTATGCTTTATTGCTTCTCAGTTGAAGTTGGATTTCAGGATTTTTGGGGATCACACATGCAATGGCTTGAATTTTTCTGATTTTTGATTTAACAAATGTTATGCTTCATTGGTTCTCTTTTGAAGTTAGATTATGGGATTTTTGGGGATCCTACGTGTAATGGCTTTGATTTTTAAGATTTTTGATTTGACAGATGCTTATGCTTACTTCTTTATTTTCTTGAATTACTATGTAATACGTACTGGTTTTGAATGCATGTGCAATGGTGGATTATGATTTTCCTTTTGCTCAATCGTTGTACATTTGGTTGACGTTGACTTGTGGTGTTGTTGTGGTGGATGTGGAGGTGGATGTGTTTGTGTTGGAGCTGAATGTGTTTGTGTTGTAGACCGGGGAGTTGGTGGTGAAGGATGGTTGGTATTTGGACATGGAGGCGAAGGTGGTGGTGTAGGGTGATTGGTGTGCGAATGTGTATGTGCTGGTGGATGTGTTTGTGTGTGGGTGAGGTGGTGGTGGTTGGCTTGTGGGTGTGGATGTGTTGGTGATGGTGGATGCATTTTTATGTGGTTAAGTAGGTGTTGGTGTGGTTGTGTTTGTGTTAGTGGATGCCTATAAGATGTGCTGGTGGAGGTGTTGGTGTGTTTGTGTGTGTGGTTAAGGAGATGTTTGTGTGGTTGTGTAGAGGAGGTGAGTGTGTGGTTGTGTTTGTGTCAGTGGATGTGTTTAGGTCTGTGGAGGTGTTGGTGTGTGGATGTGTTGTGTGTGTGGATGTGTTGTGTGTGTGGAGTGATTGTCAATAATTAGGGAAGAATGTCCTAAACATGCAGATGGTCTGTTGGGGCTTCATTGGATTTGTCATCCCAAACTATTAGTAGTCTAAGTTTATTTGGTCGTGAAAATAATCAACCGAACACAATCAAAGACTCTTTATCATTAACTCAAGTGTTATGTCGTCCATGATAACATAATAATCCTAATGCGAAAGAAAGAAAAGTGTAAACGCCTATGACTCTACTCAGATAAAAAAGTAGAGATTGGATTTACACCTGCTAAGGATTTGACAAGAAGCCTATAAAATGTAAAAAAATGGACGACATAGCTAAAAAACCTAATCACCTCGCAAATGATATACCCTTCCATTTGGGTTAGAAAGCTCGTAACACCCTAAACATGCTAGAGAATCACCTAAGCGTATAAAAGTATGTTTGGTTGATCAGAGTAATGAAATTAATATAATTCCCCTTAGGACATGCAATATGCATGTTATGTTATCTGAAGAATCCTTGTGTTGAAAACCCTATTAAATCTCTGGGGATTCAGTCATGCAATATAATCCAATTTAAAATTGATATGTTGAGAAATTAGGACGAAGAAAAATAAAATCGACACAAATCCAGAAGAACATAAAGAGATTTAACGAGGTTCGACAAAGATTCCTACGTCCTTTGAAGCAGAACTGTGGCTTTTCCACTAATCCAGAAAAAGAGTACATGATACAGAATATGGGATAACACCTAGGGTTACATACATGGCTATTTATAACCCTAGAAAACTCTGGAGTACAATATGTAATACCAAATTACCCCTGTACCTCACCCTCAACCCGCATAAGGAAACTCCCCTGATTTAGATAGAATCTTCTGCCCCGCTCTGCTCCAGCGTCTATCCCTTATATGGTATATGAGTCATACCTAACAAATCTCCACCTTGGCGAATATCCAACCCCTTAAAAGAAATACATCATGGAGTTTCTTATATACCAGAAGTGGGTTGGGCACCATGCTTCTCTAGCAACTGCAAACATTCAACTCCAAGCAATGCAAGAACTTGTTGATAGTAGCTGGGTTGGCCCCATTTTTATTTGTATGGACCTTTTTCCGCCCAACAGTATCTCACTAGAAGCAATCAATTCTCTCATCTTGTGATACCAGACATCAATGTGCTTGGTTCTCGCATGGCACACATGGTTCTTAGCCAGATAAATAACACTCTGACTGTCACAATGCAACTGAACTTCACCTTGCTCAACACCCAATTCCTTTACTATCCCAACAAGCCATAAGACTTCTTATGCAGCTTCAACTATTGTCATGTACTCAGCTTCAATTGTAGATAATGCCACAACGGACTGAATTGTTGGTTTCCAACATATAGGCCCTCCACCAAGAGTAAACACATACCCAATTATAGACATTCTATCATATTCTATCATTCAAATCAACTGCACAGTCTGAATCAACGTACCCCACACCTGAAGGATCATTCTGCTGACTATAAAAAATTATTCAATGTCCTATAGTACCCTTCAGATACCTGAAAATTCACTTGACTGCTTCCCAATTTTGCCTTCCAGGTTTAGCCATGTATTTGCAGACTTGACCAACAACATGAGTCAAATCAGGATGAGTACATACCATTGCATACATCAAGCAGCCAACTGCACTGACATATGAAACTTTTTTCATGTCTTCGATTTTTATATCTGTCTTGGAACACTATTCTGAAGAAAACTTAAAAATGATTTGCAAATTGGTTCTTAGAGGCTTTACTTTGCTCATCTCAAACCTGTCCAACACTTTGTCAACATAGTCTCGTTGAGATAAACATAATCATCTTGAGCCTCTATCTCAATGAATCTCCATTCCAAAAATCTTCTTCGTAGGACCCAAGTCTTTCATGTCAAATTCCTGACTCAATAAAGCTTTCAAACCACAAATATTATTCATATTCTTTGCAGCAATCAGTATATCATCAACATACAGTAACAGAAAAATAATAGAACGATCATCAAGGCTTTTCACATAAACACAACAATCATACTCACATCTCTTCTAGCATCATGTAGGAGTCAAACCGTTTGTACCATTGTCTTGGAGACTGTTTCAACCCATACAGTGATTTTTTTAACTGCAAACCAGATGTTCCTGTCCAGGTTGAGTGAACCGTTCTGGCTACTCCATGTAAATATGCTCCTCCATATCACCATGGAAGGAAGCAATTTTAACGTCCATCCGCTTCAAATGCAAATCCCAAATGGTTACTAATGCAAGCACTGCTCTGATTGAAGTATGTCTGACAACATGAGAAAATATTTCATCATAATATATCCCCTTATGTTGTGAAAATCCCTTTACTACTAGTCGAGCCTTGAACTTTTCCCATTCTTTTTCTGATACTGTTGCTTTCCTTTTGTATACCCACTTGCACCCAAAAGCCTTCTTTCCCTCAGGAAGCTGAACTAGCTCCCATTTGTAATTTTTCTGCAAAGACTCCATCTCCTCAACCATTGCACCTATCCATTTCTCTTTCTTATAACTAGTGATAGCTCCTTAAAAAGTAGTTGGATTATTGCTGCTGATGAGAAGTGCACAAGAGACCAAGTCTTCATAACCCAATCTGCTAGAAGGTCTTATGGTGTGTTTCTGTCTGTCTCTGACTATATTATAATTATGTAGATCATCTAGAATGTAATCACCATGTGTTGAATTTAAACCTTCAACTCTCTCAATTGTTTCTGAATGTTGTTTTAAATTCATCTACACTGCATCTGAACTGGAATTATTCCCTGACACATTGTCTTGATTCTGCTCCAACATGGACTGTTCATCAAAAACTGCATCTCTGCTGGTCACTATTTTCTTTGCAATCGAATCCCAAAACTTGTATCATTTCACATATTTCTTATAACCCATAAAAATGCACTTCTTGGATTTTGCATCAAGTTTTGATCTTTCAACTTTAGGTACATGCACATAAGCAAGACAACCAAAAATTCGTAAATGATCGAAATTAACTGAATTACCTGTCTATACCTCTTTTGTGATTTTG